TCAGTTTTCAGTTATTTTGTAACAATAGATGAAACAGATGATACAAAAAGTTTTCGAAATTAAATTTTTAAATATAATTTTTGTTTTAATAAGAATAAACATTTTTTAATATATTGCATTAAAGGGTGGTAGGTATACACGAGTGTTTTTGGTATGAGAAAGTATTATGAACACCCTTTTACTTTGCTGTAGCCCCTAGGTAGCCACTCCTATTTTAAAATGACCATAACTTTTTCTTTATTTAGTTATCCCGTTGAAATTAAAAAATAAATCAATTTAAAGCGCCCTGTACATTCTTAAAAACTGCTCCTGGTAAAAACAAAATTCAAATTATTGCAATAATAAATTGTTACAACAATTTATCGGATGCTAAATTTCAAGAGATTATAATAAATTCTATGAAAAATTAGTGTTTATTCGAATGTGTCAAAAAACGTCATTTTTCGGTCAGAAAAAGTCGAAAAGTAAAACTTTTGTATATATTTCATAAAGTCTCAAAGTATGTGCATAAAGTACTTTATCGGCGGCCATGGCCTCTAAAGTTAAGTGTATAAAGTGTTGCATACCGATTAGAATTCTCAAATCTGAGGTAGGTTCTTTCATATACCATTTTTGATTTTTTTGGAATCAAATTCAAAGATGCCAAATTTGCCGCGTCTCTAATTTCTGGGGGCGTGTCCATAATGAATTATTCACTACTCATTTTTGTATTTTTTTTTATCACCAATTTTTAATAAATTAGGTAATTAATTTGACATGAGCACAGTGACACGACAGAAATTGTTCAATTGTTGTCATAGCCAACTCAGTTAAGGAAAAATTATTGAAAATAATATCAAATTTAATTTTCTATATATTTTTTAATATTTAAGCACATTCGAGTAAAAAATGCATGAAACACGGACGTGTTTTTTTCGGACTCCTACGAGATGCTTGGCTCGACTAAGTCTCTTCTGGCAAGCTGCTCGTAGTCGCCCGAAAACTCTTCGTCCTTGTAACATAAACTACTATTGCATCGTGAAATTTAGACAATAAGTAACATTCGCTAAAGAAAGAAAAGTTATGTAGTGCCGATGTGCGTTTTCACGGTGGAGGTGGGGATGAATAAATTCTGAAAAAAACGCAGATATATCGACAAATTGAAGTATTCTAAGAAAAAAAATGTTCTTTGAAGCTTTTTCGATAAAAAAATTTTGACTTATTCGCGATTGAAAATGTTGATTTTTCATTCAAAAGAAGATTGGTTTACAGTGAGTTTTCACGAATACCTTAAAAATCTTGTCAAAAAATATAAAACAAAAAGACAGCTTCTAAAAAAAACCAATCGATTGGTATTTTTTTATTTCTGCAGATACAGTTCTGGGCAAAGCTTTCGAAAAATGTGCTTCAAGCGTCAAGCACCAAGGCCCTTTGAAAACGTAATTGCCAGGTGTCAATCACCAAGCACCTTGTAAATTCTTAGTGCTTGCAATTACCAATTACCGAGGAAAGTAATTGCACAATTTAATAACCAAGCACCAATTACTGAAAAAGTGCTTGAAATCATTGATGATTACTTGCAGGTGCTTGCAAGCACTTTTTATCAAACAAATTACCAAGCACTTTTTTTACTTTTTCAATAGCTTACTTCCCAATTAAGTAATATGTAAAATAAACAAAAAAAAAATGAAGAAATTAATAGAAAAATAAGTAAAAAGTATATGCAAGAAAAAGAAAGGTACTGCAAAGGTAGTATGTACTAATAGTTCTAAGAATCTTGAGCTGTAATGATTATATTATAAAACATTTATTAACAAACTTTAAACAAATAAGTACTTATGTACTTCTTATCTATATACATGAAACTAAAGTAACTTTAACTCTTTGATAATAACCCAATTACTACGATTTTGTGGATGTCTAGCAAGTATATTGCATTGCGAGAGTATAAGAAATGATTGTTAGCTGTTATTAAGAGTTTTCTCTCTAAAGTGCTTGAGAACATTTTAAGTACTTGCAAGATTCAAATCTAATTGTGTTTGCAAGTCCTTTTGTGCTTGCGAGCCCTTTAAAGTGCTTGGAAGCTTTTCAAGTGCTTGCAAGCCTTTTAAGTGCTTGCAAACTCTTTTGAGTTCTTGTAAGCATTTTAAATGACTTGAAATGCGAACTTTAATTATCAATTACCTAATACTTTTTATAAAGGGCTTCAATTACTAATTACCGAGCACTGTATTTTTAAAAGTAGTTGCAACCACTGTGCTCCAAGCACTGTGCTTGAAGCACTTTCGAGGCAATTACTGACCAGCTCTGGAACAAAGTTATGGCTCGTTGAAGGTGACTGATTGTTTGCCAAATACGACAAATTTTTAGAAGAAAACACTCAAATGCTTTTTAAAGTGCTTGGAAAAACCTTCAAAAACAGCAGTATGAAAACTGACAATTATAAAAAAAATAAAGTGACAGCAAGAACTAAAATTGTACGTAATCCTTTTAAAATTTACTTTATTTTGGCACTAACAAGAAGTTTGAACGGTTTAGAATGCTTAAATTCGAAAATAATTTGATTAAATTTTGAAATGATTTTTGAATTGTAATTCCTCAAAAACTAAAGTAGATACGCAAAAAATATAAGAGTTCAGAAATTGAAGATTTGGTTTTTTTATATTATTTCTGTAGTATATCATTTTTTTTTTTTTTTTTTTTTTTTTTTTTTTTTTTTTTTTTTTTTTTTTTTTTTAGTTTGCATTAGTGAGAGTGCCACCTTCCACGAGCCCTTTAAACCCAAAAATTTCTAAGGCAAAACTTTTGAGGCATTGTAGCCCTTGCAATTTCCTCCAAAACAAATTTTTAATCGATTAGATATCTTTAAAATTTAGGAAGATGAATTTTTGGTGAAAATTTCGAAGCATATAAGTTTCTGTATTCTCGACGGTTTCGGAGAATATAAATGCATCCAAACACATATTTTGATGTACAAATTGTCTTCCATGGATGTCTGAGAAAAAAGAATGGCTATAAATCAGAAAAATATTTTAAACAGAACCGGAATAGCATTTTATTATGAAATGGTGTAAAACAATTTTTTTTTTTGTGAATTTGTTAATAACCGTGGTTTTTAGAGTGTTTTAACGTAATCATAAATAATATTAATAATAATATGAGTAGTGAAGGGATTTCAATTCGTTGTAAATGGACCATTAAAAAAAATTGTAAGCGTTGAAAACTAATTTTATGTCAATTTCGTCATAAGGGGTGGTTTTTAAGGAGTAAAACATAGTAGATCATAAATTGTGTTCAATATTAAAAAATATTTTTTTAATAAGTATTTAAACACGATTTTAATCCAAGCGACGCTTAAATATATAGCTTTCAAACTTTTCGTCAAAAGTGGTAGTTTTTAATCCCTAAACATAAATATCGCACATTAGCGACATATAACTTTTGAGGAAGAGGATAAGACAAGCTAAATTACAATTGTTTTTCCAAATCAGTGTAATCCGAAAGAATTATTTGGAGTTAATAGCCTATTTTTACCTTCAAACACTGGACTATAAACTTTTTATATTGATTTTAAAAGTTCTATCGAGTGTTAAAGTCCTCCTAGAAAAAAACTGGACCACGCTGTATGTATATATCGGGTCTTCGATAATACCCCTATCTCAAGTGATCTGGTAAAACAAGAAATTTAATAAAAATGCCCGTTCTTAGTGAATTTTATGATAACTTGAGTATCTGTCAAACACATCACTGACATTGTTTGCCAACTCATGGTATCAATCTTAGATGTATCAATTTGGTCACGTGGGATACGGGTATTGTTGAAGACTCCATACATATAGGCCAATAAAGGGAACAAGTTTTCTTAAACATTGTATTGACAAATGTAATCAATTTTTGGATGGTCCCTTAACCCGAGACGATTTCTGGGAAACCAAAACATCATAAACACAGCGGCCGAGGAAAGGGTCGTGCGGTCAGTGCAGAGACAACCCAACGTCAGTGGGACAAATATTTGAATGGGCAGATTATCCAACACCGTTGAGGAATGCAGTCGATTTCTTTGTTAAGACTGTGTTATTTCATTTGTTTTAATAATTATTATTTTTGTAACGTTATTTTAATATTAATAAACTTCATACGTAAAATAAACATTTAATTATTTGTGTAGTTTACACAAATAATATTTATTTGATACATGATTTATTTAAAAGTAACATTATGAATAATTTGACCATGATTTTGGTAAAAACTACTTAACTAGGGTCCGATTACAATAAGATGAACACAGGCTACGCGTCATCAATTGGCGGAGTGATTCGTTGACTATCGCTGGCTACTGGGGGGCCGCCAATATTATAAAAATGTGGGAATAATATTTTTAAATCAAACAACTCACTTATTCTTTATTTATTGATAATTATAGATGATATGTATTGGAAATTCGAAATAATAGTTATGACGTAGCGGTGTTCTTCTTATTGTAATCGGACTATACCTACTACTTTATGATACCTATACATTATAGATGTTTTAGTCCTTAAAATCAGTTTGAAAATAATTGATTGGAAAACATCTGTGAAACTAAAAACACCACGTTTTTACGTTTTACAATTCTTAATTTAAAAATTATTTATTTCATTGTATTTAAATCCAGAAACTGTTTACATAGTCGTCATTATTTCTGTTGTTTTGGCTTTCAGAAATAAAGCCTTCTTGTTTTATTTTTCTAGTAATGATCTAACTGTAAATAGGTATTTAAGCATTGTTAAAAAATTGTCAAGAATCGTTCATGTCTTGATGGCTTCATTATAAAAATCTTCCTTCGGAACGAAGAAACGCTCTGAAAATTATTTACTAGAGCGAAGAAATTATTCACCATAAGTGTTTAATCTGAATGCATAAAATCCCTGTCTTCCGCTTTTTTACTTTCCTGCTGAATTTCTTTTTTCAACACTCTTGCATTTATTCATAAATTAGTACTCGTACAATATCGTTTTTAAAAGAGATTTCTTTTTTTTTAGGGTACTGAAAGCGAAAGAATCGTTCTGACAACGTCCGAAGAAACAACAGCTAAGAATATTTATTTCCCTGACATCCGGTTGGTAGACGGTCCATCAATATTGGCGGGACGTGTTCAAGTCAAGCATAATGGACAGTGGAGGAGTGTCTGTACCAACTCTAGAAAGTGAGTATTCTTTTAAAAACTATGACATCTTTGAAATATACTGAAATGTTATACATTCTTTCAGTTGGACAGCCTACGATATGGCAACCGCCTGCCGCCAACTCGGCTTCCAAGGAGGATCGTTCCATCTCTGGTACAACCGCCAAATGCCTCTAAAATCCCGCATCCTCTACGAAGAACCCAGATGTACAGGAACCGAACCATCAATATTCAGCTGCCAATGGAACAAAAGACAAATGGGCTCAGGAGTCTGCGATTACCATCCAGACATCGGGCTTGAATGCCTTCCCAAATACGACACCCCCATGCCCTTCTGGAGAGGAGTCACATTCGAAAACGCTTTAAACGATAAAAGACTAAGATACGATAATACTCTATATGTGCCAACTTCCAAGTCCACTTTTAAATTTGTTAACATTTATTACGCTGGTATTGGTAGAGATTACAACGCTGGCAGTGCGTTACATGTCATCGGGGTACCACCAGTTGTTGATAGCGTTGAAATATTCAACTCTGCGTATAATGGAATTAATATTACGAACCCAGAAGCACCTATCACAATAAATAACTGCAAAATTCGAAGCAATAGGGGTTACGGAATATTCATCAACTCCAGTTATGGTTTGGCTAACATTGATGGTTGTACTGTCACCGAAAATGGTGGCGATGGTATCAGATTTGTTAGAGCTGAAGAACGACCAGAAGAAAGAGCTGATAGGAATGGTTACAACGATTTCTGCCAGCTGGCTTTAGCTTCAAGTCAAACATTCCCAGTACAATTATTCGCAGAACAGACTCTATTCCTGACGAAAGAAGTTAACTGCCAGAAAGTATTCACAACGAGATACGGTCACGTTCTGACCTTGCATTTCATCAGAGCTGTGACTGATAGAAACGATAGTGCTTCGATAGAAATCTACGATGGTTCGACTTTGAACAACAGAATGCTGAATACGTTCTCTATCAGGAATAATACAAGACCACAAGCTGTTACTAGTATCAGCAACCAAATGTTTATCAAGTTCAAGGCTCAAGCTTGGACCGAGATGGTTATATTTCTGCGAATTACGTCAGGATTGAGAAAATCTTTTGATATAAACGTCAGTAACTCGGATATTTCAGAAAATTCCGGTAGAGGCGTCGCTGTTGATAATTTGAGATCTCAATTATTGGTATATAAGAGTTCGGTATCTAAAAACGAGCATGTAGCTGGAATACATGTAACCAGTGGTGTTGGTGATGTTAATATTACGGAAAGCCGCGTATCTTTCAATGAGGGTGATGGAATTAACGTAACCTATACCGGTGGTAGCAGGAATATATCTAGATCTTCAATTAGTTCCAACAAAGGTTACGGTATAGCAATTTGGTTAAACAACACTGAAGAAACTGAGTATATATTCGTAAACCAAACTAGTGTTGTGCAGTATTCTGAGATATATAAGAATTTGGATATCGGTGTACTGCACGGAAATTACTGTGGTGATGCTTTGTTTAATTTCACAGAAAATTCGTTCAAGAACTGTCTAAACGACGCATTAGAAGTACTATCTTGTTGGAAACATACAGAAACGTTGACCAAAATCCAAATTGGACACAACAGGTTCATGGGAAATGAACGTATATCTTTAAAAATATCTCCAGCAGTTAATTTACAAGCGGTTATAGAATACAACCATTTCAGACAAGGTACTTTCGGTGGATTACTCATCAAAAATAAACCTCTAGAAGAATTTAGTATCCTTAAGAACGATATCGTAGTCCAACAGAATTATTTTTTGAACAATTCTGGTACTTATGTGGTTAATTTGGGGCTATCACCATACGCAGAGTACCAATATCTGCTGTTTACCAGAAATTTCGTTAAAAGCAACAAAATATCCGAACCATTCCAGATGGAAGACGGTAGTGTATCTAATTTGAATCCGAGAAGTCGAGTAGCAGCACCAGTGGTTATTGGATCTAACAATATAGAAGTATTCAGAAATATTATCGAAAATCCCGATTCTAAATATGAAATCGGCAGTCATTTTGAAGACCAAAGCAAAACCATCAACTGCACTTTCAACTGGCTGGGTTTCAGTAACGACGAGAACATCTTCCACCGGATATTCCACCGATACGATAGATATAACTTGGCTAAAATCAGTTTTATACCGTTTTTGTTACACAATACCAATCCTTTAACATCTAGGATCAACCCTAACCAATATTATGTACCAAAATTCCTCGCTGGCGGCTCTGACAAGCTTGGAGGTGAGATCGAAGGTGAGGAACTCATCACTAGAGGAGAATACCACGTGATTAGAGATATAAGTATCAGACCTGGAGGTAAATTAACTATTGAACCTGGAGTAACTCTTCGTTTTCCAGCCTCTATTGGTATGATGGTCGGTGGTAGATTAGAAGCAAGAGGTATAGAACCGGACAGCATTAAATTTACCATGAAAGAAGAATTGGTTCATAGTCCAGATAATGTAACATACGAAATAGAGACTGAAAAATACGATTCTGAGACTGAGATGATTCAGATTGAGCCAAAAGTACCGATTAGGTTGTTGGGCGGTAACACTGAGACTGAGGGTCGTTTGCAGATTAAAGTAGATGACCAGTGGGGTACTGTGTGTAACTACGGTTGGACTATTGAGAACGCTGCGTTGGTTTGTCAGCAGTTGGGATATGTTCTGAATCCGGACGATTGGTAAGTAAATTTAAATGTCCGTATTTACATTTTGTACTTTATATTTAATTGTTTCAGGAACCTGGAACGAAACGAGATCCCAGCAGCAGGCACCACCGAAAAAGTAATCCTCTCAAATATCCAATGTGATCCGTTCGATCTAGATATCCTTAAATGCAAGGCGGAACATATCATAGACTTCGAAAACTCCTGCAATCACGACAACGACGTTGGAGTCCGTTGCTATAAAACTTCCTGGGCGGGAATCAGATTCAGCTCCCTAGCAGACAGAACAGATCTACAATTCATAACCATAGAAAAGTCTGGATTGTTGGATTATGCTACAAATACCTTCAAACCGGCCCTTCAATTGGATTTCGCTAGACAGAATTTTGAAAATTTGCGAGTAACCAACAACGATTACCATGGATTGGGAATCATCTACTCAGATATATTTTCTGAATCAGTTAACATCATCAAGAATTCGGAATTTTCAAATAACCGAGGCGCCGGTATCAACATCAAACAATTAGGATTGAATCTTTTCAATAGCAAAATCGAAAGCAACTTCATCGGTATCGAACACAATTCCGCTTTGACCGGTCTTCAGCAAAGAGAAATTGCAGGTTGGTTCATCAAGAACGACGATGAGAATTACTACAATCCGTTTCTGATTCCTCAGTATTCGGATACCAACATTATAGAGCTGAATATGGGGGAAATGAAGTATTTGGTCACCTCAAAAGCCTTCGGCGACAGTATTTCCCGTTCTTATAGAATTAGATGCGACCCAGGGTGGGTTTTGGGCATCCAACTAATTAATCCGATTGAAAATAGAAGTACTGAGAGTATTGTGATACATGACGGACTTACATCGAGTGCTAGTGCACAGTACTTTGTTCTGAAACGTGATTTAACCATATTCCCAACGACTGCTAGCAGCCATGGCATCGTTTTGGACTACAACAGTGGTACTAACGCCGCCGGTGGTACCGTACTAATTATCAATACTGTCAAGGCTCCGATGCAGAACGTGTATAACCGAATAGTAAAAGGCCCGGTACCAACTTTGAGTGCTATCAGAACCACAATACGTAACAATGTCTTTGGAATACATTCCTCCTTCTACAACAGATATCTAGACGAGCTGGGGAATCATTTTCTTAGGAAAGCCAACGAAAGTATGAAATTCTATGGATGCGAAATTACTAAAAATGGACGTGAAGCTGTTTTTGTGCACTCCCCTCATTGGGATCTGCATTTAAGTAATATTTCTGAAACTACGTTTATGTTTAACAAGAGTTTGATTGTGGATAATGGTAAAGGGGTGTTCCATTTTTCAAGGGACATGAGGTCGTCCAATAATCTGTTCCATTACGTGTTTCAGGATAATACTATTGATAGTAATAAAGGTTAGTATGCTTCAAAGGAACATATTTTTTTAATTGATTTTTTCGCATTGGAATCCAAATATTATTCAATTAAAACGGTACAATTATATTTTTTTCAGCCGGTGGATTTGATATAGCTTTACCCTACGTCTGGCAATACAACGAAAACTTCACCCACTCGGTCTATATGGATAACAACACGTGGATAAACAACAACAACTTCGAGATCACTGTCGACGGCCATTTTGCACGCATCAACATCACCAACAACATCTTCAGAGATAACTATTGCCGCACCGGTCTTCTAACCATAAAAGGAATGGAAAAGAAACTAAAAATCGTTGACAACAAGTTCCTTAACAACAACGGGAAGTATGTCGTAGAGTTCAGCTCAAACAGTCAATCCGAGATTATTGGAAATGTACCAGCTGTGTTTATGTATAACGAATTAAGAAGCAACAAACGTTTTATGAGAGGAAGGACTGGTGTGCTTCAAGTAGATCGCGATCCAACTTGTGTGGTGGCTTTCAGAGGCATTCAGAAAGTAAGAATCAACAGGAACTTATTCTCTGATAACTTCCTAGAGTACCAACTTTTGGCGGGTATTAAAACCGCCAAAATTGACAACTTCTTAAACGTAGCTGAAAACTGGTGGGGTACTGATAATGAAAAAGATATCAAAAACAGAATTTTCGACTTTGACGATTGGAATGACCACGCTATAGCAGAATATCGTCCGTACTTATTAGAAGATAACTTCCAATCAAGTTATTCAGTAAGTTTTTCATCAAACAACACTATAGATCTAGATTCACTAGGAGGAAGACTCTACGAAGACCTACGCCTAACAGCCAGAGATCGTCCTTATATTATTAACTCAGACATAACTGTCATGCCAAATGTCACTTTGACTATCTACCCTGGTGTTGTTATGGAATTTGCACCCAACGTGGGTATATTAGTTTTAGGAATATTGAACGCTAGAGGTTATATCGGCAGCGAGATTATTATGAGACCAATTGTGTTTTCTGAAAATTTAAAGAACGCAGAGCATGGGAAGTTTGATGTCAGGGAAAAGAGAGAGTTGGAGAAGTTTTACGGGCAAGAAGCTATAAGGTAAATATGATGTAGTTGGGTATGTTCGTTTTAACTTGAAAATCACTGGTTAATTTCTTGGGAATATTTATACATGATTGTTTGTAGGTTGTGCAAAAGCGCCGGCTGTTCGGAAAGTGACGAAGGCTCCGCCAACGAAGGTTTCCTAGAATACTTTAACTCTACAACTTTACAATGGATCCCAATGTGCGACTCCAGATTCACAGAACGCAACGCACAAGTGGTATGTCGCGAACTGGGTTTCGACCCTCTAAAGGCCTTCTTCGACTTCGGCGAACGTATCGACTTCCACAGCAACTCCTTAACCAGAATCTGGACGTGGCCCGAGCCATTGCAATGCAAAGGAACAGAAAACAGATACGATAATTGTCCTATTAGGTTGAACGGACAGCAGTTTGGTCACAGACATAGATGTGAGTGGAATTCAAAGTTTGTTTTCATCCATTGCGATAGGCAGTTGAAGAGGCTGAATTACTGGGGTGGAATTAGATTTGCTGATGCTGAATTCGAGCAGCAAATGTACAATCACAGGCTGCACGACATTCACACTCACATGAGTTATCAGTCTTTCGAATCTACATTGGAATACGTCAAAATTCAGGGAGCTGGTATTCTTCACAACGAAAAATCTTCTGCTGTACAAAGTATAATCAAAAGTCCTAGAATTAACTACGTCGATATAGATGATTCGGCTTTCCATGGGATAGATCTAATATCGCCGTCTAATACCATGAATTTGATCAGGAATAACATTCAAAATTCGTTGAGCGTCGGTTTAAACATATTGTCGTTATCTGGGGAAGGTAGGGAGTCTGATGAATCCAGTTTTACTCCATTAAGAGAACTACATATACCTTACAACTTATTTAGTCTCATAGACATTTGCGATACTCACAAAGAAATAAGAGTGCAAGAACGAGTACTCGTGTACTACAAATACGACAACCATCCTGTCAATTGTATCAAAATATTCCGCAGCGTATATGACATCAAGCCTTTAGGGCTGAGATTGCTTCAATTTGGACTCTTTAATTCGACCGCCAAGTACGGTATTCCAGATTTCTTGGAGATGTACGACGGGGATATTTATAATGTGTCTTCGAAAACTATCGATAAGGTTACCATGACGTCTGGAAATGAAAAGAAATTGTTCAAATCCTCTTTGCCTAGTTTGAGTGTCAAGCTGTTCGCTAACGGTGCTTCATCCAGTCATGGGTTCATTGCGGAAGTGGTGACTCTACCAATATCGGCCATAGGATTCAGTAAGTAAAAGATCTTTGACATAATGACAACTGACCGAATGCTTAATTTTTATACTTTTTATGTAAATAAGCTTTTTTTAGATCGTGATATCCAGCACAACATCTCGAGGTCTGTAATCAACAATAACGGTCAAAGTGGACTTATGTACATGGCATCAGGTGAGGTCAATCCGATACTCACGATAGAGAAAAATCAATTTAAGAGCAACTGCAGAAAACTCTATGGTAACTTCACCACTTGCAAATCCGGACTAGAAATTGACGTTCAAAATACACAGACGATATTTTTTAGGGTAAATTCTAACCTTATTATATCTAGAAATCTTCTTTATCAGGTATAATTTTAGGGTAACCTTGTGGAACAAAACCAAGGAGGTCTCTTCATTAAAGCCGATTCTAGAGGTTCGGCTACGTCTCTTCGAGGTTATATACACAACAATCTCTTTGTGAACAATACAAATATGCCCACCCTGTATATAGAAGGCAGAAAATCGTCGCCATATCAAGAAGTCACTATATACAGAAATTATTTTACAAGAAACTACGCCCAATACCATAATAATATTATTTTGAAACAAGTAGTATCGAATTTCACTTATAATTACGTCAAAAGAAATACTGGAATGCAGAATTTGGAGGTTTCTGGTTTCGATAGGGTTAGATTGAATATTTATCAAACTACCACGCATAATGGATTTTATCAGTAAGTATTTAATTGCCAGTTTTCCCGTATTATATTAATAAAACAATCAAAAATTTGTTTCAACAAAGGTGACAAATGTCAGAAACAATCTGTCAAATATGTTAATATTTAGATAGTTAATTAGGACGGTTTAACTATAGATTAGTGACGTATTTGGCATTTATGTAAAGTGCCGGCTCGAAGGACCAAAAATAGTAGTAATTTTAAACATGAAAAAAAAAAATTACAGTCGAAAGAGTTTCAAACGCGCCTACCTTTTATTGCATTATTCCTTAGGATGATAATTTTTGTAGAAGCTAATATCGCGCCCGATCACACATACTTTATATAACATAGTATAGCGGTTTTACTATAGAAAGTATGAATTAGTGGCTATGGTCGCACACCCGTCACATGTCTAGGTGGTCGATTGCTTCACTGGTTTTACGTCCAGGAAGCGCATGTGTGAGCCAAGTTCGAAATAAGCGATTTCAAACAAAATAAGCACAAATATTTTAAAATGAGAAAATTAGATTAATTCATTCTGAAACACATATTATTGTCAAATATTCTAAATGAGTATCAAGTAGATGGCATAATTTTTTTTATTCTGTGTCATCGGCATCAACTGCTATGGTTATTATCCTCGTTTTCGGTGCAGGCTTTGTTACTCTTTCCCAGCGCCTCTTTTGGAACATCACTCTTTATTAGAACCCAACAGTAAATGGTCAACTGAGGAATCCCACCTATGCATTAGAATTAGTTTGTAATTGATTAATTAAAAATCCCCATCGCCGGTGGGATTCGAACCCGGGAACCTCGGATTCGAAAGTCCTTACTCTAACCACTGAGCTACCTACCCCCTTAATTATTTTGTATTGTTTCGTTTTTAGTAATTATGCTGTAGAAAGAGATAAAAAATCAACAATAATTGCTGGAACAGCTGGTCAACATTATGTAGATAATATCTTTTGGGATCCTGATAACGATTACGAAATGATAACCGTCAACAGATCTTTGTAAGTATTTTTTTACAGCTTTTAATAGTTTAATTCAGATACATTTTGAAAAATATCGTTAATTTAATTAGGCACATTTAATAGTAACATATCAGTCAAAAATTAGAAAAAGATCTTAATTTTCTTAAAAAATCGTCATATAAAAATTAGTGTACTCGTAGAATAGCAAAGTTAATATAGTAGAGAATGTATAAATAGGTAAATAATGTTTTAATGTAATTTATATTAATACATTTTTCTGTTGCATGGTGCATGCAGATTTGAGTTCAACAGGTAAGAATTATACCCAGTAAGATGTGATTGTCCTAATTACTAGTTTGTTTTCTCTTGATCGAAAAGTATTCCAAAAAGTTAAAACCGCTTAATCATAGTTTATACTTTATACATATATAAAATTAGGGTTTCTAGTTCCAGCAGGGTTAAATCTTGTTAAAAATTGATTTAAAATTAAAAGTTGAAGTTCACAGATGACGTTGATAAATTAGGTTAGGTTAAAAAAGGGTGGGATGCCACATCGCCTTCCATTGCAACTAAAGTCGGTATAGGCTCCAGTCGGGTGTAGCCAAAGATCTGTAACCTAATTCTTTCTAAGGCAGAGCAGTACATAAAATGCAGATTCATCTTCCACATCGCTGAATCGACAGTCCGATGTTTGTTGCAGACCTATCCTTCTCAGAGGAGTTCATAGAAGGGTTTTATATAAACAACGAACGAGTTAGCCTTAGGACCTCTCTAGTACACCCTCTGTCAAATTCAGGATGATTTCTGGTAGTGAGCAATGCCAAGGGATGGTTCTGGTCCTACGAACTCAGATTTGGTTCCTCTTTTAGGAAACGCGTCTGTTTCTTGGTTGGAGCTCAGACCTTTAAGGGCTGCCTGGTTATCCGAAAAGATCTTTATAGTCTTGTTAGCAAGAGGAAGATTGTTCAATTCTCTTGTTCCCAATTATATATCGGGCAGGTTTATTGATGTTAACTCTTAGTTTTTGCCAAATACTCCCGCTCATATTGCTTTTCTAAGTTTAGAGCCGTCCGTGTACAGTGCTTAGTCCATTTGGAAGAGGAGAATATATATCTTGTCCCATTTATCTCTCTCTGGAATGAGAATGCTGTATTACTTTTTCAAGTGCTGTCAACTAGCAAGTCTGACACCATACCAAAAATGAAGTGGTTATTAATTTCACTCAACAATCCCGGTTTGTTTCATCACAGGTATTCCTTTTACTGACTATTCGCCGTCGGATGTCTGTAGGAGGCCATCCTGGCCTCCTTTTCCATCAACTTTTGAAAAGGAGTTAGGTCCCAGTGATAGCGACACACGCACTACGATGAATTTTAGATAACTTTGCAATGGCCGTCCGTTGAAATCTTTTGTCCCACCAGACCATCGGTTATAGCACGGTTTGGTAAACCCAGTAGGTCAGTTTGGGATGCGCCGAATATTAGAGTCCAAAGATAACAGTTGACATATTGGCACATGAAAATAATGTCATATTATTCTCAGTAAAAATGTACCTAACGGACCCTCTTAAATATTTGGACCAGAGTTACAAAAAAAAGATGAAAATATAGGCGCTAAATCATAGAATTAACTATCGGATTTCCGAAAGTAACTGGTTCTATTTTTTATCTTTGAACTTGTGTTGGTTAGTATTTTACAAAATGTTCTGGATTTAATATCCTATCCCCCGGATCTAAAAACCCAATTTAAAATGTATAGAGTTTCAAGTTTTCAAATATTTTGGAACACTAGTAAATCTCCTTTTTTCCTTTTCGATACATGTTGGTGATTGGTATTTTAGTTTAAAAAAATTATTTATTTTGGTACAAAACATAATATGGATATCACGATTTGTTATTATACTATCTCAGAGTCCAAGCTCTTGACACTTCTGCCTTTTTTGTCACCATAGTTTGTAAAATTAAATATAATTGTATATCTTACTCGCGAAGCAGAAGTTTTAAGAAAGACTCGTATTAATCTTGCACACTTTTTCAACATCTGTTTACACGTTCACATTTCGATCGTTACAAAACATTAACATACATATTTTTCTAGCACATTCCCTCTCTGGGACGTCAGAATCGATGCCGCAAACAATTACTGGGGTGTCAACTCGACTCTGGCTGTTCGAGGTCGAATTAGAGACCAAAGCGACGATCCGAGATTATTAGAAGTGACATTCGAGCCGTTTTATATGAACAACAGAACGATTTTAGACGGAAAATGTCCACCTGGATGGGACCTGGTCGGGGAAACTTGTTACATGTATATTGGAGCTCCCATGACCTTCTGGGAAGCTAAACAATTTTGTCAAGTAAGTATTTTATATTATTTAATATTTGGTCGTAAATGTAGCCAAACTGAAGACTACACGATATTCTTTCTATATCTATGTTGCTACTGCATCACGTTGATGTCAAAAATCTCTTCTTGTGAAGGCCTGCCATCAACATATAAAAAATAAAAGCAAAATTCGCAACAAAAAGACAAATTTAATTACAACTGATGGAAATAATAGAAAAAAACTTGCCAGCTTGGTGTCCGATTTTTTTTTTAATGTATTATTTTAGTTGGCCTTTGCAATTGAATCTTGAGCCAAGGCAAATATGATTTTTGTGATGTTCGTTTTTTTTAGGACGATAACGCATCCGTGCCTTATCTCTTGGGGAATATCAATTATTTGCCAATTTACGATTTTTTGAGGCGACAGGACGAATGGTTCCTATACTCGGACAAAGTTTGGGTGCAGCACATTGACAGGATCAACGAGTGTACCATTTTCGCTTATCAGAGCGTCGAAATCGAGGATTGTAACAGAAAAAGTCCTTTCATATGTGAAATAGGTTAGTTTTTTTTTTTTGTTAAGTGGCTATATTTGAGGTATTTTTTTTAATATGTCATAAAAGTGTGACGTAATTTTGGTTCCACTGACAGTTAATTCTAACCATACTTCTAACAATATTTGACATATACGTTTTTACTGTTTTTATTTTTTTAGTAAATATTATTTGCAGGTCATAAAAAGTAGTTTAAAGGTGTGTAATTGGGTACTAAATTATTATATATTTAATGCATTTTATCTTCTTACTCTAGGAATATATTTATAAAAGTTCAGGTAAACAAAACCTACAAAAGGCACTAAAAAATAGTCACTGTATTTGTCAGTGGCACCAAAAAAATGTCACCACTAATTTAGCGTCATGCGTTATAGTTTAAAAGTATCAGACGTAAATTTATAAATGGTGGGATATAAACATTATTTGGAAATAGCACTGAACTATATATTAAACTGGAAGAACAAAGCCGATCAACAAAATCAAGTGATATAGCAAGGTGATATTTGACACTGTGGCGCCCACACGTGCGTATCGAAATGCACTAAAAAGGAACATCAAAATTAAATTTAACACTTATTACATTCAACTACGACACCTTTTAATTTAAGAAAATACGCAGCTGAAACAAATGTTAATAATAATTATTATTAAAATAGCGCGTTATTAATAAAAAATAATATAACTTATCGTAGTAGGTACTTAACAGATTAGATGAATAAATCTTTTATTTGCAGTAGTTCAAATGTACCATACCATAAATTTCATTAAAATTTACAGAAATTTAATTAGAAATTGCTAAACTCTATAAATCTATTATCTATTAATAATAGTAGTTCCCAGACTATGATATATTTAATTAAAATTACAAAAAAATGCAAATTGGTCAACCCGTCAAATTTACTAGCCAGTAAATTTCGTTAATGCACTATTGTATATTTCATGATTTTTCATCTTTAAACTCTATTATATATTTTTTTTTTTTTCAGATCCCAAAGTACAAATACGAATCCTGCCGCTAGCCGACGACGTAATAACGATATCTGTGATAAGTAGTTTAGTATTAGCGGTTTTATTAATAATTATCGTGGTGGCCTGTTGGTGGACCAAATCAAAATTCAGACAGGCGCAACGTTTAGAGCGGAGGAACAGCATCAGACAAAGTTTGCACTCGTTGCGGTCTGTGGGACTGTCCCAGAGCAGTTTTTCCGATCCGAGCTATCGAAGAAAGGCCAATCAATTGGTAAGTTACCCGCTTAAAATATACATTCCAAATTTGTGTGCAATTTTCCCCGACTATTAACGGTTTATTATTTGTATAGCACACGAAAATTAAATGAAAAAATGGTAAGTGTTCGAACAACTATTAAAATAAAACTCAAATACCACTATTTTATCATCTATTAACTATTATAACCTTAATTAAGTTACTTAATTACCCGACCTTCATTCCTTCTTCTTCTTATACTTCTGCTGTTCTCCGTGATCCTCTTCCACCTTGTGTTTACTCAACTCCTTAATCAAATTATCTATGGATATGTTGACCAATTCCTGCTGCATCTCCGGCGTAAAGGAAGACAACACTTGATTGGTGACATAATCCACCAAATTTCTTTGCTGGATCTTCCTTCGGAGGTCTGCAACGGCCGCGTGATAATTGAGGATGTGCGTGACTTGTTCGTAGACAGTCATTTGCCTATTCCTGAATTCGTTCTCCAACTGGAGATGGACATTTTCGCGTTTCGCTGCCACCAGCATTAGGGCTCCTAAAAACAGAGTATTAACGAAATTACAAACGAAAATACCAGCATAATAAGTTTATAAGAAGTTGACCTCTATTAAACACACCAGTGAGCGTGTCGTGACATCTAGATATCTTGTAGAGCTTTAATATATCTCCAGAGGTTTTTCAACGTCGTTTAGCTTACTAACTTCTTATAATTTATGCTGGAGCGTAAAACTCTTCTCTTTAAGTGTCAGTTTGGATTTAAGTCAGAGCCGTGTTTAGTTGTTATCACGGACATGACTCGTATCTCTGTCTTTGTCGGTTTAGAAACATTTTTTGTAGATCACTTTTTATTTGTTGGCACACTTCTTACAATTTCTCTCCAGAGGTCTACTGTTCCTTGTTTTGAGATATTTCAAGTGAGTTAAGTATTTTGACATAATTTGGAGAGAAATAAAGATTATATTTAAAGATATCCCCCATAGTCATCTTTTCCTATACAAGTTTATGTCAAGTGGTGGGGAGGACGGTAGGAGAAATTTATCGATTTAGTAGAGAGTTTTAAAATAAGTTTTAAGTCGTCCTTGCTTCAGTTTGAAGCTAATAACGCTCTCCCACTCACCTACCCATTAAAAATATCTGATTTTGAAGGTCATTTTGACGCCTGCAATGTTTATGCAAGACAAAGAATATTGGGGTTTCTGATATTAACGAAATAGAAGTGAAAAATTTGAAGAGAAGCAATAAGTATAGAGAAATGTTAAGGGAAGACTTAAGAAAAAGATTTAGATCGGAATATTTAGGTCAGTTGATGGCTAGAAAGAAAAAGAAAGATTCGTCGAAGAATATTCATGTTGGATACATCGTTCTTGTAGGAAACTAAAACGATAAAAGAATACATTGGCCTTTAGCAAAAGTTGTTAAATTTTTTCCAGGAAAAGACGATGAGAATAGTTTAAGAACGTCAGATTTAGCTAATGTAACCTACTTGTAAGAAGTTATTTAAGAACGGCCTAAGGTGTGACCAGTTCAAAAGCTGCATCCTCCAGAAGTGATGGATGATGAAGAAAAACTTTTGTTCAAAAAGAAAGACAACACACATTAGTTCTAAAAGTTCACTTCAGTTAAATCCCTGATGATAACCAACAACGACAATGAACAAAACCAAACCCAAATAGTTACAAGAAAGGGAACAAGTCAAAAGTCTACTTTATTATAAAATCGTCTCTAGAAGCTTATTTGACATCTAAAGAGTCCTTACAATAATTCTCATACAGTGGCGTTTACGACGTCTTCTAATTTGGCAGACTTCTTGGAATCCCACATTTTACAATCAACTTTTACTTCTTGTAAATTGTATCTAGGGGCTTCAGCAAAGTTTTTTGACTTGCACACCTTATCTCTGGCAAATCCTTCTTTAAAGTCTAATTTATTGTTTCTATTAGCTTCAAAAAATAAATATTATAATTTTTCTACATTGGATCTTCAACACTTTGTAATTTGAAGGCTTCTTATACCTTTAATCAGTGGTTTTGAACTTCTACTTTCAATAACTCGTCTCTGGAGGCTTCATTAATGTCTCTTAACTCACAGACTTTTTATAATTTCCCTCAAGATATTTTTTTTCTACGTTTGCATCTTGTAAATCATCTTTAGAGACATCTTAAATCTATCCTCAGCTTTCAGACTTTTTATAAATCATCTCAATTCATCTGAACTTGGACACTTTTTATAAGCTCTTCTTGTAAATGATCTTTAGAAGCTTGTTTAATTTCTCTTAGCTAAGACAGTTGTTCATAAAATTCTACATAAAGTTGTTCAGAGTCTTCTTCTTTTAAACAACTTCCAAAGACTTTTTGAACATCCACCTACCTATAAATTGCTTATTGAGGCTTTCTACGATGTCTCCTAATTATGCCGGCTTCTCGCAATCTGCCTCCTTCAACCGTATCTAGATGCTTCAATAACGTCTTCTAATTTGCAGACATTTCTATTAAACCACCACGTCAGACTTCTTGTAAGCTACAGAGGCTTCTTAACCCTGTAAACCTTCTACTAGATATCCATAATCAAACTTACCGTCTGCTTCATATTGAACGCGAATTTCTTCCAGCACTCTATTTTCCAACTCAACTACGGATTCTTTCTTCGCTTGATTCCATTGGTCTTCGTACTCTTGGATTTCTTTGTCTAAGTATGCGGCCAAAGATGGCCCTACGTAGCGAACGGCGGCAGCCATCATTATAGCCATCGATAACCCACCATAATAATTATGCTCCAAGACGTAGTATTCTTTGCTGATCAGATAAGTACCTGCAAGGAAAAATATGGTCCCTATAAGTATATAGGCGATATTAGCTAAATCTGAACGTTTATAAATTATTACTTTACCTGTGGTAAACAGAAAAGTTCCGAACCCAGTTACGCCTGTCTTTGGTACGAAAGCAGTGAACCATTCCCTCGGTATGAAAGCGTAAATAACTTCTCCAGCTTCCCGTCTCACTATAGTTCCTTTTCGTGGAGGTGGCGGTGGTGGCCGTTTATCTCCCTGAGAACTTACGGAGGAATCTTTCAACAAAGTAATGGTTTTATCCAAAGACTTATCACCCGTGGGCTGTGATGTTGGTTCTGCCCCAAGTTTGCATTTGGGTTCTGAGAATGGTTTACCTTTGAGATCTGCGGTAGGTTTCTCTGCGAGTTCTGTTTTTGGTTTCGATTTAGATTCCGTTTTACAAGGTGTAGAATCCGGTGGATCTTTGGCCATTCTTAACACAGCTTCATCTAAGACTTTTCTAGAAGCAACTGCATCTACGTTGGCATCGAAGAGATTTTGAATTTTTAAAGCTTGTACTTTCTGTCCTGAAGAATGCTTACCTATATAATTGCAAAAGTTATTATATATGATAAAATAAACAGTTTGGTTTTAAAAAAAAGATTAAGTTTGTTAGGGCAATCTTCTCTACAACACCGTCGGCAAAGAACTCTAGATGTATACTCATTTTCGCATCGTTTTTCAAACCTACACTTATTAGATTATGTACATATTTAACAATATAGAACTCACCGTATATTTTATTACACTCTTTGGACAATCTGCTTTTGACAGAAGCCTCTTTCTCCCTCTCGGTCACCACGACTGTCCCCGTCTCATCGTCTTCATCGAATAATATCGAGCGGGATTTCTTTTTTTCTGCTTTACCATCGTCTATTTTAATCGTGACATTAAAATCCTTAACTTTCTTGCTACACAGCGATTTATTGGAAACAAATAATATCCTTCGGAAGTTTGTTGTAATTGCTCTTAGAGAATTTGCACACTTCAAATGCGACATTTTTGTCACTGATTGTCACAACGTCTGACATAGCGGATGACTTCGGAAAACAGTTGAATGCTTTGACAGCTATCGAAAACTGGCCGACTTGTTATAGTCTTATACAGGGTGTTTCTTGTGATAAAATTTAAGGGTGTGATTCCTAAAGTAATTTGAAGAAGGAAAATTCATATGAGCATGTGTCAGGTTTAATTTTTTTATTATAGGGTGTTGAAAAAATGTTTTTCTAATTTTGACATATAAAGTAACATATTTTGTAATCGTAGCAAGTGTCAAAACGATCTACTTTATAGAACATTATGCAACTGATTACGAAAAGTTAATTATATAACCAGTTACGAAATTTAATTTAATTGTTATTATAAGACCGTAAGTCTGGGACCCACTTAATGTACCATTGATGAATTCAGACAGATCATACAAACTCGAAAAAAAAATATAAATACAAGGTGATCCATTTAAAATATTGCCCGATGACGTCATATCTTGAAAACCATTACGTATGCGGGAAATCTGTAAACGTCAGTAAATAGTACATCAAATGTACAAAAACTTTTATCTAAGTCAAATTATCGTACAAGTCATAGTTAAGCAATAAATCAAGTGCTCCGCCCATATAGAATGACCCTGTATATTATGAACTTTCCTTCATAAAATGACCTGCCAGGAAATATTAGCATGTCGATAAGGAACACCATGTATACAGAAAAATATGTTGTTTTTATATGCAGCCTAGCCCTACATTAATTACGATTAAGGTAGCGACTGCATTTATTATTATTTTATTAATAAATTTTAAAATTACAGAGTACCAGATCAACGGACACTCTAACGAAAAAAATGATTACAAATGGATCAATAGACAGCATGGAGAAATCGGCATACAGTTCTTCTTTAGACGACAACCAATCGTACGAAGTATACGAAAGTCACAATCCCAACCCGACATCATTCTCATTTTCCCCGACCATCGAATACCACAAATCACCAGCAAGATTCGAAAACCAGTATGCCAGACCCACATTCGATCTCTCATTCAAAAACGAAGGTTTCAGGGATAATTCCACGTTTGCCACGAACTCCAACTACCAGTCTAGAGCTGAAAGTGTCCAAGACGATTTAACTGAAGAGAGTCCGATTATGGATAAAAGTAGCGAGATTACTTCTTATCCACCTAGCGATTATTACAATACGGATACTTTACCGTTGCGAAACAACCAATCGGATTCCACTCTAGACCTCAAACGGGGGATACATGAAATTAACAAAGCCTACGATTACAACCTGATGCAAGAACTCAAAAACAAACTACCTCAGAAGCAGAAACCACCAACGCCACCGCGTAAATATTCCCCCACGTATTCTGAACAGCTCGGCAACATGGGATACACTCCAGACTACAACACAACAGCTCTAGCTCACCCGCACCAATCCGAAAATTTGCTACAAACTGATTTCGATGAGCCCGCGAAGCCTAAACCGAAGCCTAGGTCGAAGAGCGAGGTGCTATTAGAGACCAATTTCGATTACATGCCACCTAGTGGTAGTCCGCAGTTTAATCAGCCTATTAGTGATGTTAGTAGGAGTAGAAGTCAACCGTTAGAGACTGCTATGTAGTTGTTAGTAAGTGCATTAGGATTTTTTAACAAATTGTGTGATATTTTTGACAGTTGGGTGCACTCAAATGAACAATACAGTGATGCAGAGACTGTTTTTAGAACGTGTGATATATTACGTACTATCTATGCAATGTGAGGATCAAACTGAATTAAAAATAATCCTCTTGTCCTTGTATTGCGTTAAAATTGTTATTAAAGTGCCCTTGAGCCCCACTTTTCCGTCCTATTTGCCTTATTATTGAACAATTAGGCAACTTTAAACCTAACTGGTTATATTTAAAAAGACCAGCAGCTGTTATTTGTCATGATGTTAATAAGTCTTTATTACAAAGGAGACAGATGACAGTTTGGATGACATATCTTTGTTTTGTTGATAATGATAAAATGCATTGCTCATGCAAAACTGCCACACTTAGTACGTTTTATTTATTTTTATTAAAATTATGAACAAATTTAATGACCTGCTAGATCGGGTCACGTAAGAATATGAACAATAATTATTGTGATACTAGGTAAAAATATTTTAGAGCGTCCGAAAAATAGGGAGAGCTATAAGCTTTCTCCCTCTTTCTTCAGCTCAGGCAATTTAATGTTTTAGTTATTATTAAAGTTGTTACTAGAATGTGTTCTTTAAATTTAAAAACATGCGAGACTTTAAAACACTTAACTGTTAAGTTGCATTTTATATTAAATTTTATAAAATTTCGATATATTTTATACATATATTAGAGTTACTGAAAAAAAAAAAATGCGAAATATGATGAATATTTTTGTTAAATTTTGTATATTATACGTTAGGACGATATAGTAGATATATTTTGTTTAAGAAAAAAAAAGCAGACTGCATAATGTTTTTTGTTTAGACCGTAAATTCGTAAATTATGTGTAAATAGTTTCTAGGTTAAGATCTCAAATCTATGTTGTAAATTAAATAGATAATTTTTACATTTAAGCTTGTGTTTTATTTTATTTCAACTATAAAATGCTATGAAAATAAATCGAAATGTTTATCGTAAATGTAGAGTAAAAATATTTTGAATATTTATTTTATCCAATGAAATTTTAGAAGATTCTACATTTACTTATCAGCAAGAAATACTGTTTTGGGACTCAAAAACTTGAATCTTTCTAAGGCTTGTTGATGTCATAATTTTGGCACAAGATCTTGGCCTCTATTGATCGGAATAACATCATTATATAGAACAAAGGAATTTCCCTCAACGTAGACGCAACTAATTAAAGACTTATTTAAGAGAAGCAGGCCCAACGGGATTTATGGAAAACCATTTTGAATGAAGCAAAAATAGTTGCCTAGGCAGTTGACATTTCACCAAACTTTGTTATCAAAAGAACACCAAGATGAAAAGACTGTATATCAAAAATGGCTAGATTTATCGAATTAGTTTATAGAACAAAATCTGCTTAAAAATGCATTTTCTACAAGATGCGTTATATAAGAAAAATCCTCCCATCGAAAAAAATAAATTGAGCGCAGCGCCATCTACATATTGACCTATTTAAAATTAATTTATATCTAAAACTGAAGTTCTCTTAGCGCTCTATGAACTGGCTTTTACAGGATTAAAATATCTCAATTACTAAAATATCCGGCCTGGGAATTTGTATTGGTACACCCTGTATATATTCATTGCCATCGAAAATACTGAAAATCAAAATTTTACACTGCTCAATTTTTTTCCATTTTAGAAAAATCATGTATTAAACAAAAATTATAGAGATATCGCCAACAACTTTTAGTTTAACAATTTTCTTAAATATCAAAATTTTGTACTTTTTTCAAATTTCTCGAATCCGGACCATTTTAAAAAATTATGTATATGACAAAAATTATAGAGAATAACATTACAACCAACAATTATTTGAAAAATTTTCTTTAAGGGTAAATAACAGATAGGTATATTCCATAAAATAGAAAATTTGGTGTTTTTCTATACAGGGTGTAACTAAATAAGTGTAAAACATTTAAGGGGGTGATTCCTCATCGAAAAAAAGATAGGATCTTTCATATAAAGAAACTTCATTGGAGCATCCCTTGTTAAGATACAGCCCCTTAAAGGGGTACATAAAATTTGTTTAACAATTTTTTTCATAATCACTAAACAAGTTACAATATTGAAATTAACCTGTCATTTTCTACTACCAAAAAGACACTTAGCCAGTAATTTATTTGGTTTACCCCATCGCAAAAATAGTTAAATCGGATTCAGGGGACCCCAAAACGTAAAAATCCATTGAAATCTCGAGGTCGAAAAAAATCATGATTCTTATACTTTCCTTATCTGTATAACATATACAGACAGGAAAGTAGAAAACGACACTCCCATGACTGTTCGATTTTGATATGCTGACCATATTTAGTGTATCCATTATAGGTACAATGTTCCTCCATGGGTACAATGGTGTAACACACCTATTAGGTCTATTTTTTCTTTATATTATGTTAGATTTTTAAAGACAATACCCAAAAATGTACAGGGTTAAACCTACAGAAAAAAACTTAATAAAAATTAGAAGAATACCTAATAGAAAAATTAAAAAGACTGCTCAAAAGCGCATTTCTAATCTATTATCTTTGTTATTATCCTTCATACAACGCTAAATTATCTTCTAAGCACATTGTCAGGTTGTTTTTCCATCTATACAAATTTAACAGAGGTATTTTTTTTTACTAAACAGAATCATGTTTTAGGTATTCAGCAATTTCAGATATTAATTGGTAGATGGCAGCACATGTCGGTTTATCAACTATGGATTAAATCAACTTTTTTAGAATATTTACAAAAAATAATCTTAGGACAAACTACAGATATGCTCATTTACGCGTTTTCAAAAGATTAAATTAGTCATAGCATCATAGAAATATGTTTTTATCATTTTGTCGTATAAAGTGACATCTTTTGTAATCGTAGCAACTGTCAAAATGATCTACTTTACTTTACAAAAAAATCATTATGTCACCAGTTGAGAAAAGAAAACTAATAACCCTTTTTTGGTTTTAAAATCAATATAACAGGTTTGACTTATAAAAATAGAATTGGGTTAAAATTACAAACTAGTAATAATGTTGTTTTGGTTCTTATTTTTCATTCTAAATTAGCACAAAATAATTAAAACACAATACACGACAAAAAAACCAGTATTTTTAAAAACTAAATAACTTTAATATGCAAAATAAACATACTACAAGTCTTCGAGAATAAATTAATTAATATAATTTTCTTGGATATTTTTACTCTGAGAAAAATTTCAACAAACTATACACAAGTAGAAAAGTGAAAAACAAAAAACAAAGAAAAAACCAAAAGGAAAACAAAAACCAAAAACAAAAAACAGAAAAACAAAATAAAATAACAAAAATATAAAAAACAAGAAAACAAAAAATGTCTGCCGGCATGAATGTGGTCATTTCCATCCATGGTCCCATGGTCATTTTCTTGTATAGACATGTCTTACTCATAGTCGATATCTAGACTTTCTGAGAGCTATGGGGTTCCATCAATAAAGTGAAATATTTTTTATTAAAAAAAATTAAAAATAAGGATAGAAAAAGAGAAAAAAAAAACAAATAACTGATAGCGATCAGCACCGATACGATGGCGGGGATCGATAACGCGTTATATATACAGAACCGGGCACAAGAAGGAGCCCCTTGAGTGGTTATAACCCCCAAAATGCTCCCCGTGGCTAAGTCACTGAAAATAGTGCCTTCTGATGTTCCTCATTTGGGTGGTTTTTACCACAAATAAATAAGTATAAACTAAGTATAACTTTAATACATAGGTCGGCATCCTATTTAATTCTTTTAACATGAACAATGTAAGAATTTATAATTATTGTAGTTAATAAACATACAGGGGTGATTCCTGCATATTATACCTATCGTTAGTGGAAAAGTCAACATTTTTGCTTAATAACTGAAGTCTAATAATAATACTTACTGAAATAATAATTATAAAAATAATTTAGTAATGTTATATTTTAGTTATTTTTTCTCATATCGTGATACCTAATATTGAATAAGTTTATTTATCATTTTTCGTGAATGGCTTATAAGTAAAGGTGGTTACGTAAGCTATCTTGGTTTAATAGAATCCGTTATAATATTTAACCCCCTGTTACCTATTAAGCCAAAAATTATTATTTTCCGCTATAGAATCTGCAAGTTAAATATTATCCGTTCCATATATGAATCACCCTGTATAAATATACAATGTCGTAAGATTTTAAATAAAAAAAATCAATTACAATTTCGATATAATATTCAATAAAACGTGCCGTCCTAAACGCGCACCCGACTTAACTCTTATTGACCTTCTCCCGGTAGGTATCAAAACGATACATTGTTGTTAAACACGTAAGAAGTGCTGCTACACGATACGGCTGATAGTTATGCAACTGTTTGAAGCGAGATAGAGAATCCCTAGGTGGGCGCATATGAATACATAACAGACTAATAGGGGCCAATCACAGACGGCTTGGGACTACCTCCTTTGTCATCAATGGGCTACGGACGAGTCCAAGTTTACGTTAACGGGGGAATCCGGATGCCGTCTCGCGATTGTGAAATGGATTTTTTTGGGTAAATTAGTTGAATTGTTAGGAATTTTTATACTGTTTTAGTTTTTTTCGAAGGAATGGAGAGGATTTCGAGTGAAATTCGAGAAATGTGCGAACATTTTTAATTGGTATTTATAGTGGTTGAATTGATAGTAATAATGGACCGTTCCATAGTGTAGTTCAGCTGACTTGGTGTAGTGAGTTCTGAGTAAAAAGTAGTAGTACGGCCGGTATCACAGTAGGTGGAGGTTGAAAGATTGCCAACGGGTTGGATAAAAATCAACATTTTTTCGGCTTAATATCTGGTTAACTACGATGAAAATTGGAGTTTTCAGTGGTTTCTAGTGCATTTTCGGGAATAATAACAGCTTCACAGTGGCGGCCAACACGGGAAGCGGCTCACGCAAAGAAAATATGCTCAAATTTCTAACACACAAATTAAGGACTCATTCCATAAATGAGGATAATCACAACGGGAAGGTTAGTATCCACTACTTTGAATATTACATAGTATTTTTGTAACCTCGTTGAAGGTCATTGTGTGTAAAGTATGAAAAATGGCTGCTTCAAAAACCCGAGAACAAAGGAATGTTGATTTCTGCATTTGACAGCCTTCAACAGTCGGGCTAACTGGACCAATTTAACTAATTATATTCTAGTAACAATTTTTAATCGTTCCTAACTGATCAAACTAACGAATTTAATCGAAAATTAACCCAGAAATAACCCAATTTGAATTTGCCGGTTTTTGTAACATTTTCTGAATGGATAATCAATGTCTGTCATTTTTTTCTTTACAATTACAAATACTACATTATATCTATATAATTTCTTTTTAAATAGGCTGATGAAGATCATGATTCTGGCACCGAATCTGACGAAGAAATCGACGCTGCGATATCAGGTGAGTTCCATTTTCAAGTTTTCCTTGTTGGAATAAATCGAATAGGGTATTGACGTTGCACACAGGTAGTTAGGTAGGGTAGTTGCCCAGTTGAAGCTTAAGCACCTGATTTCTGTTCTAAAAATAGTTTTCTACCGTGTATGAGTAAATATATGGGTCTATTGATGGTGGTTGGTGGATTTTGTAGTTTAGATATTAGAATTATTAGTTGTTTTCGACAGTGACTTGTTCTTTTCACTTTCATTCGGTATTTAGGGCACTCCTTTTTCTTTTTGCCTATCGTGTTGTTGGGTCTTTAAAGTTTTCATATTTTTTTCTTTGTTGAGGTCTTATGTAATTCCATTGTAGGTATGATAGAATATTAATTATAAAATGCAGTACATTTAATAATCAACCAAATTTTAAAATTAAAATAATAGGTATTTATGAAACTAGTAAGTAGGTAGGTACTAAGGTACCTAGCTGTTATTTTTTTATTTGGAACTGGTCCTGCCTAGGTAGGTACCTATCCAAAAATTCTACCAATCTTGGTTGATAGTGCAGGTGAATACGTACCTAAAAGGTATAGGTACCTATCTACATAATATGTAGGTACCTATATGTATCTAAAGTTTAGGTACCTACCTATTTAGCGATAGCGATATTTATGCTTTAAGAGCTATTTAGCATCAAATGGAAGGTCAAATGTCGGTAATAAGTGACAAATCGGGACAATATTACACCCGCAGAGCAATATCTAATAAAGTAGGTATGCCACACGGATCCATCTTGGGTCGGAGATGTTTATTATTTATGTGAAAATAAACTATCTAGTATCTGCCACTAATCCGAGGTCGCGGGTTATCCGTATATCTAGTTCTCGTTTTAGAAGTATTATCCATTTACTTTATATTTAACAGCCAGTCGGCCAAGGCAAGTTGACACGTTTCACGCTATAGGTTGTAATGCTAAATCCTAACTTGATACTTTTTTTAAACTGTGTACATAAGTCATTAAGATAAACAACTTTTTCAATAAAAATCAAAAATAAGAATCTCACAATTATGTTATTCCAAAAGTTACATATGTGGGGGACGGGTCCTTGTCAGTGTTTTTCCTCGGGGGCCCCAGCATGGCTCTCGGCGGCCCTGCGTTAAAGGGATACAATTATTGATTTTCCCACAATGTTGTCGACACTTTTTTTGACTTATCCCACCTGATCTTCAATGACCCGCTATAACATTTAAAATGTGCTCTTAACTAGGTACTTCAGATAAAGTAATTTATACATAAAAAATCCGAAAAAATGATAAAAAAAACCTAAACAGCTCAACTTTTAATAGCTTCGTTCTCGGAGGCGATCCCGAACGTATTCTGAACGCTAATGTAGAGCATACAGGTATACATATTTAAACAATACAAATCTAGTTATAATTATGCAGTGTAATTTTTATCTTCGCGTTCAGAATCAGTTCAGGAGTGGGGCCCGGACGACTTTAGGGACAGTGGAATTTTAAAGAAATTAATTTTTTATCAGGAAGAGCGTATTTTAAAGAGAACATTTAAAAAAAATTGCGGTAAATGCGTTTTTTAAGCAAAAAAATTATCTAATTTCTATAAAAATTACCATTTTAGCGACTGTAAACTTCGAAACTCGATGGTTTGAAAAATATAATTGCAACGTTGCCGGATTGTGATAAAATTAGTAGTTAACAGAAAATGGAAAATTGCGATTGCGCATACCGGTCCATAAATATGAAACAAGAAAACGAAGCAACGACTTCTCGTAGGGTGGCTGTTACCGCGAACGAGGCTATTACAAGTCGGCTGCGATTTATATTTTTTAATTTTGTATTTCTTATTTTTGATTTTTTTTTTATTTGAAAAAGTTGTTTATTGTTCGTGGCGGAATATTGAGCATGCGCATTGAGGTTTACATAATTAATTCGGAGTGTTGATTTTCTCAAATTAAATAAATTCATCATTTTGTAAATATTGACATAAAAAGTAAAAATATAAGTATAACATACTGCTAGCTTCCAACAAAGCCAGCAGAGGATCTCGTTTTTTTTTAATTAAACAAGCACAGCATATTTTAAGGCTATTTTTAGGCTCGCAAAATAATATAAAACTTAAAAAAATATGGTATTTTTAAAAGATACCTACAGATATAGCTAAATAAAAGATTTGCTAGCTACAAGTCAGCAGAGCACCTCGGTTTTTTAAAGCTTTTTTCTAAAAACATCCACATTTTTAGGCTATTTTTAGCCTCTTCAAATATAAAACTTTTCGAAAAAAAAAATTATACAAAGTCAGAAGAGCAGAGTACTCTGTTTTTGAAGTTTATTTAGGCTATTTTTTGGCTCTTGGTATATTATAATGACTTTCGAAAAATTACTTTTTTAAAAAACTTTGCTAATTTCGAACAAGTTCAGCAGAGCACTTTTTTAAAGATTTTTTTTTTAAATAATGCCACATTTTTAGGCTTTTATAATGTTATAAAACTTTTAGAAAAAATTTGCTTTGCAAGCTTCGAACGAATCTAGCAGAGTACCTCTATTTTTTAAGTTTTTTCTAAAAACAACCACAGGTATTCTGCTGCCTTCGTTTCGAAGTTTACAACGCATACAGTATTTTTAAAAAAATAGCAAATTTCAACTAAATATTTTAAATTTCAAGAGCCTAAAATAGCCTAAAAATGTGGCGTTATTAAACAAAAAAAAAACAATAAACGGGACGCTCTTTTGGGACGATTTATTTTAAAAAATAACAAATTTTTTCGGAATATTTTATATTTAAAGGGCCTAAAAATTGCCTAAAAATTTAGTGTGGTTGTATTTAGAAAAAACCTAAACAAAAAAAAGGTGCTCATTGTCTTTGTTCGAAGCTAGCAATTTTTTTCGATTTTAAGAGCCTAAAAATGTGGTGTGGTTGTATTTAAAAAAAAAACATTAAGAAAACCGAGGTGCTTCCGCTATTTTCGTTTGAAGCTAGCAAAGCTTCCAATTTTTTCTAAAAATTATAATTTTTTCGGAATGAATATATGTTTTATGTGCTTAAAAATGAGGTGTGGTTGTTTTTAAAAAACCGAGGTGCTCTACTGGCCTCGTTCGTCGTTCGAAGCTTTATATACATTAAGAGCTTTCTAAGAGCCTAAAAATAGCCTTAAAATGAGGTGCGGTTGTTTTTAGAAAAAAGCTTCAAGAAACCGAGGTGCTTCGTTCGAAGCTAGCAGAGAGCATCTCGAGTTTTTTATATAACTAGAAGCATAAAATCTTTGAATATGGTATAAAAATAGCCTTAAAATGCCTAAAAATATGACACCATGTTTCAACTCAAAATTTACTAGTTCTATTTATTTTAACGTAATAATGTGAAACCCTATATTTTTGTTTCACATCGTGTGTAGGTTCAAACGAAATTTAATTTGATTCAACAGAACCTGTAGGGAAACAAAAAAGAGTTTTTACAGAGTTTCCCTATTAGTTTTGTTAACTAAAATTATATTTCAAATACACCTACACACGATGTGAAACGAAAAGATAGGGTTTCGCTTGTTTTTAAAAAATTTAATTGTTTTGTCCTTCGATTTTTAAATTATATTGACTACACCAGAATATGGAAAAATTCAATTTTTTGAAACTCGTGTAGTGCTTAATAAATTATATAAAATTAAACAAATCAGGAAATTATCCTCGTTCAAATAATTATTTTGTTACAAATATATTAAAATATTTAAGTGAAAGAAACAAATTATTGTCGTGCGAACCATTTTCGGTCAATCCGGTAATGCTCTAATCCCTTAAGTTTCTGCCTTATTTTGGCCTTTGTACGGCTCCACCTTTTCCCGTTATGAGAATATTTAATACAGCAAGTCACCTCCGAAATACATTTTTGCTACGTCTATGCCGGACAAAAGTAGAGGTTTGGTCTGCGAAGAATGTAAAGCGAACGCTGTAGAATTTTGCTGAAAGTGTTGCCAGATCTCATCTAGTACTTTCGAGAATGCCTAGAATTCTTATAGAACAGTGTAGTGCGCCGAATTTTTATGTAAATAGACGAATTTTGCCGTTTTAGTTCAGTATATAGATATATTCTGTTGTGTAAAGATAAATTGTTAATATAAATTAGTAAGTAAGAATATAAGTGTTTGAAATATAAATAGTACTGATATGTAGGTAAACTGTTTTAAATAAATAAACGTTAAGAAAAATTTTACATTATCAACTTGGCAACTTTGCTTTTTGTAACAGCAAACATAAATTTTGACCTTGCTCATACAGGGCGCTACTTATAACATTTGTTTGATAAATAGAATCATGACTTCTTGTATTGTACATCTAAACTCAAATCGGCCTCAAAATCTGAAAGAGCTACCTTTTCTCTTAAAAAATGTATTCTTGTCTCATTTTGATGTTTAAACGCGTCTTCAAAAAAATAAATAAAATAAATGAAACTGTATATTTCATAAACCATCAACATTCGGATAAATGGCTATTACATATTTGACCCGCAGTATATTTAGTTAAGGATTTTTCATATTAATGAAACACCCTGTATCTTAAATTACAAATTTAATAAAACGAAATGAAATACAAATTATTAAAAAAAAAAATCTTATTGTACAAAAAATATTAGATTATTTTTTTTTAAATCTTTAGGTACAAAAACTATTCACATCTAAACATTATTTTGTTGAATTCAAAGCTTATTGTGTTAATGAATGAATGAATTGATACCTAAATTAAAGCGAACAATTACTATTTATCTATCCATTCTAATAATGATTCTAGACTCTAGACCAGCGTTTTTTAATCTTTTTGATAAGTGGAACCATTTTTAATGTCCACTTTTATCGTAGAACCTCTGGTTTGTTTCAATAGTATGGTTTTAATGTTACATTCTGTGAATGGATTATTTACAACAAAAATAACAATTTTTTTATTTAATATATGGAAAAGTCTGTTAAAGAAAAAAAACATACGAAGGAAAAATATACAGTTTTTAGCCAAATATTTACA